ATTCTTCCCGTCTGGAAGAATGCGTCCCGTCTAAGCGGGGGGGAGTTGTAACGTGGCATAAGGCGCCCGGCTTGGGTGCGCCACGTTACATTAAGGGATACAACCCGCGGGTCCGCGTCTAAGGGTCGCGCGATCGGGGTGGGAGGGGGTTCAGCTGCGGTGGCGGCGGGGCTGATCGGAAGGCGAAGCACGAGGGCCGATACCCTACGCTGAGGATGCCACCGACCGCCCGCTTCCCGCTAACCGTCCGCTGGACACCTGATCGTCCCGACGAGCGGCCCGGACGGCAAGGTACCGCGGGAGGGGGGTGTTTTTGTTTTGATCCACCCGCTGGACGAGGGAAGAGGAGGGGGGCCAGGAATTCCTTCGGCTAAATTCGGCAAACCGACAACAATGAAGATCGGCAATCTTCGGATTTGCCGAATTCAATCTCTTTCCGGTAATCGACCGTGTAACACGTGGAGTATCAGTGCGGACGATTTCGGGCAGTGGACGGTGGGTATTGTTTCCTTCTGTGGACAACTCGGCTAGTTTTGTGGACTTCTGGTGAACGACGCGGCTTGTGATTTGGATTTGATTTGGTTTTGTTGAGAAAGGAAGGGAAAGAGGGTGACGAAGTGCGGAGTGTGGGCGCGCGAGAGGAACGGAAGAGCGAAAGGGATCGCTAGCCGAAGCGGAGGACCTCCCACACCGAACCGGCCCTGTGGATTTCTCGTGTCTTTTTTGGATACTAGGAATAAGCCGCTACACCGGTAAGTACCGCCGAGAGCGGCCCTTCTTTTTACACGAAGTCCCCTCGGAGAAGGGCCGGGATACCCACATTCACGTGTCCCGGGCGGAGATCGGTGGTCTAGGCGTTCGGGACGCTGACCTGAAGGGATCTCCGCTAGGGAAGAGGTTTGCCCACCGAGCTTACAGAGATCGCGACCGCGTGATAGGGAGACGCGCCTCGTGAGAGGGCAAGCTAGGGACGGTGGGGAACGGTTAACACTGCGGCCCTTACGAAGGGCCGCGCTCGGCGTCAGAAGTTACGTTACACGCGGATCTGTACTAGATCTATTTCTTTCCTCTGCTCCAAATAAACGGACATTAAAACTTCGACTGGCATTTTTTTCATTGGCGTACCCCGAACCGTTCGAATCTCGTCGCCCCTACGTTCCCCTCTATCATTTCAGCTAGCTGAGGCTGAGCAGCCGGGAGATCGCGTGGAAGCGGCCATAGAAGGAACGTGGTGCGGGAAAGCCGCACCTGGCGCCCAAAAATCCGATCTAGTTCGGATCTCGGATAGTTTTCCGGGTATCAGCACGTTGGGAGTGGCCGCAGATTATTTGTCGGCTACGCCGTTGGCCGGCGTACGTCACAATATATATAGCGTTTCTTACAAAAACACTGTGTTCTACTTCACCATGGGACGCTTACCTCCTTAGGACAATTAAAAAATTACCGACTGGCGGTCACTGCATAATTACCGACCGTGATACGCCCCCTGGGGGACATGCAACGCTGTTGCTCAGTGGTTTCGGGCCTTAGGACCGCGTGGTGGGGGGGGGGGTTCACAACTGTGTCGCAGGTGGTGGGGAGAGCTGGTCGCATTGACGAGGGGGTGAGGCCATAGTGCAGCGCGAGGGGACACAGCGCGATGCACTCTATGACGCGTCGGGACAGTGATGGGGGTTTGTTGTGACGGCCAGGGGTGGTGTGTATCTACTTACGAGTCGGCAATCGTCAATCTCGACGACGAAGATGGTCCAGGAACAC